GCTAAGAGGGTAAGCTAGGTCAGGGCGAGTACAGGTTATCAGGTACATAAGACAACCCACCAGCTCAGGATATGGACCACTGGACTTAAATGACTCGTCCGAAGGTGGAGCCGTGAGCCCATGATCCACAGCAAGAGGGGTGAGCTGTACCTTGGAGAACGGGAAGCGAAACCGCGTGAGGATCTGCTCGACCATATGCGACTGGGTCAGCGTAATGGTGTAAGCTGACCTGTCCCTGGTGATCTGCAGGCCAAGGTAGTGCTGCAGCTCACCAAGGTCAGTGCAAGTGTGTCTCCTCTGCAGTTCCTCCTTCACGGAGGCCAGCGCGCGTCGGTCGGGAGTGGCAAACACCAGGTCGTCGACGCAGACCAGGACAAAAATCGGGGTCGAGCCACGGCGGACGAACAGTGACGGGTCGGCAGACGACAGAAAGAAATCAAGCGCTGCAAGGGTCGAGCGAAGTGTGACGTGCCACTCACGTGGAGCTTGACACATGCCGTAGACTGGTCGATGCAGCTGCCACTGGGTCCTAGGTGGGAAAGAGCCAGAGAAGCCAGGCGGGCGACGCAGCCAGATCTGCTCGTACGGGCTCCCCTGAAGGAACGCGGTGGAAAAGTCCAAGGAGTGCAACTTGTAGTTGCGCTGGGCTGCAATATGCAGCAACACCCGAAGAGTACTCATCTTCGGGGTGGGAGCAAAGGTCTGGAAGAAGTCCACCCCCTCTCGCTGACTGAAGCCTCTCGCCACATAGCGCGCCTTGAACACTGGTGGTGATCCAGGCGGCCGCTTCACCTTGTAGAGCCATTGGCCACTGACGACGTTCGTCCCAGGTGGTGGGACTGCGTCGACGTAAGTGCCTGTGGACCTATAAGATGCCATCTTTGCCTCCTCAGCTGCTATCCAGTACGAGGCCCAAGGTCCCGAGACCGCCTCAGCGTCATTGCGAGGGATCGGGATGTCAAGAGCGTCTGGATCCCCCTCAGGGGCAAGCAGCATGGCGCAGAGATGAGGAACAGCGGCTGCAAGGAAACCAAGCTCAAACTGCCTGTCCTCTAGGACCTCCAGGGGAAAGACAGGAGCACCCCCAGAGGACGGAGAACGAGCAGGGCCACTCACCAGGTGAGCGGCATAGTCAAGGCGGTGGGAGGAGGCAAAGCCAGCGACAGTGGTAACAAGTGCTGAGACAGACGACAAGGGTGCAGTCGGGTGAGTGACCAACGCGGACAAAACACGGGAGACGACATGACAGGAGGCACGGAGGTAGTCGGACAACGGGTCGTGAAGCACAATGAGGGACGACCCAGGAGGCTGTGGAAGGACTGGAGGAGGTGGAACATGAGATCAGAGAACAAGGTGAAACGGGCCGTCTGCACGGTAACAAGACCGACGGGGCTATGGAGATACAGCACGACTGAGGGGAGGACGACGAGTCCACTGGGACGAAGAAAGGGACTGGACGGGGGGAACAGGAGGGGGCGGTAGGGGACCACGAACCAAGCGTGCAGGTGCTGGGTCGGGCAGGCCGCGCAGGCGCAGTCGCTGCCGCTCCGCCTCCTCTGGCGTCTGCTGCAACGGTACCTGTCCCTGCTGCTGCTCCTGTGGCTCCTCCCCTCCTGCTGCGGCTGCAGCTGCACCCGCTGCTGCGACCGGGACTCCTGCACGACCCTCTCCTGCTGCGGCCATGACTCCTCCTCTACTCTCTCCTGATGTGTCTACAACTGCACCTGCTGCTGCGAACGGGACTCCTGCTCTACCATCTCCTGGTTCCGCCGTAACTCCTCCTCTACTCTCTCCTGCTGCGAATGCAACTGCACCCGCTGCTGCACTCGTGACTCCTCCTCTACTCTCCCCTGCTGCGGCTGCAACAGTACCTGCTGCTGCAGTCGTGACAACTCCTCTGCTCTCTCCTCCTGCTGCTGTGACTCCTCCTCTACGCTCTCCTGCTGCTGCGCCTGAGACTGCTCCTGCTGCTGTTGCTGCTGCTGCTGATGCTGCTGCTGCTGCTGCTGCTGCTGCTGCTGCTGCTGCTGCTGCTGCTGCTGCTGCTGCTGCTGCTGCTGCTGCTGCTGCTGCTGCTACTGCTGCTGCTGCTGTGCCCTCTCAAACCGCTCGCGCTCCTCCCTCTCCAACCGGAGGAGACGCTGCTCACGGGTCAGGAAACGTACAGTGCACGGTGTAGGTGCCACACTGCCGGTGCCTCCAGCTCCAGCACCCCCAGAACCAGCACCTCCACCACTGACACCCCCGGGGGCCTCCAGTACCTCCTGCAGGAACACCCCCAGGCTCCGCAGCAACCGGCCGCAGAGAAGAACGAGGAGGGAATTGCGGGACGGACGGGAAGCCAGCGGGTGACGCGGGGCGAGGCCGCCGACTCGAGGCTGCCGTGTCCTCCACGGGAGTGACCTCCACGTCCACAACCCCTGCACCCCCAAAGCCGACACCACCAGCTCCTGCAGCCCCAGTACCCTCACCCTCCGCAACTGCACCTCCCGCACCCCCAGACACGAGAGGGACTGGACGATGCGAGGGGGATGACTGCAGAGTGACGTGCGACACACCTGATGGGGCAGGACGCGAAGGGGAGGGGGCTACCAGGGCGACTGGGGGGGGCTCAATGATGAGGAAAAGCAGGGGGGGAAAGACCTCAGTACCTCAGTGGGGGCGACTCCTGTAGTAACAGACTCGTCGAACGTGACGTCCTGAGAAGCGAAGAACTGGTAGGTGACCGGGTCGTAGAACACCCAGCCGTAGGCGTCCAAAGGGAAGCCAAGAAAGACGCAGGCACGAGTATGCGGAGACAACTTGTTCGTGCCAGGGGCGCGAACGTGAGCCAGAGAACCCCAGACACGGAAGTCAGCTGCTACGCCCGAGGAACCTGTCCAAAGGGAGACCGGCGTCACCCGTGGCCGTGCGTCACTGGGCCACAGGTTCAGCTGGTGCGCGGCGTAGCGGACTGCCTGAGGCCACAAGAACTGAGGGGCACCGGCATGGCACATGGATGTCCGGGCAACCTCCATGACTAGGGCGATGCGTCGCTCGGCTACCCCGTTCTACTGCGGCGAGGCTGGTAGCATGTAAGACTGGATGATCCCCCGACCCTGACAAAACGTCTCCAGGCAAGTGGAAGAAAACTCACCACCACGGTTCGAGTGTAGGCGAAGCCCACACAGGCCCTGGGCGCCACCCCTTCTGTCGAGGACGGTAGGCACATCGGCCTTCCGTCGCGCTGAAACACCAGAATCTTGGCTGCCGCTACGATCTTGGGCTGAAGATTCACCAGCTCCCGTCGAGGTGTTGCCCGCCATAGCTACCTATAACGAGAATCACTATAACGCAGCTCTGATACCAGCTTGTTGGTGTAAGGGCCTAATAAACTCAGGCTATTAAGACGTTATCCAACTTAAAACCTCTCCTCGGGGTCACCTCCAAGGGTCCCTGGGTGCTTGGTACAGGACCAGCCCCTATCCTCGGGTCCGAGTATGTAGAGAGAGGGATCAAGAGGGACTTAGTCAAAATAGCAAGAGTACCTTGAACGTTGCGCAGCGTGCCGTGCAGACCGTCGATCGGATTAAGCTGAGAATTCGCTATATCGAAGCTCACTCTACGAGCTTTAAAATAATCCAAGTTGCCTCGCGAAAAGTTCTGCCATTGCAAAGTTATGGCTCGGACAGCGTTTGCCTAGCGTCGTCGTGCTAGCGTGCTAGCGTTGACTCGGTAGCATTCCGCCATCGCACCGCGTAGAAACGGAATTCCAGGAAGGGGGGGAATTCGCTTGAATCAAATTGACTATATCCAGGTACAAACAGAGAAGGAATAAATAGTTCTAGCTAGCAAGGATCTTGGGAATCAACCTGGGAACAACCAAGGATGATCCCAAATAATTCCAAGCAACAGAACCAACCTGGCTGGACAAAACAACAGGTGGTAGGTTGGTAAACAACCTCTGGTTCTATTTTTCCAACCTGGGAAAACAACAACCAGGTTCATGTCCTAAAAACAGAACCTGTTTTGTCTTTGCCCAACCAGCCAAATGCTGGTTCTGCTGGTTTCCCCTGGCCCTGTAGCATGCAGATACAGACAAACAACACCCAACCTTCACCTAAATTGTACCCCTATAGTGCCTGCCCTGCTACACTATAGTCAACCAAACAAAACAGTACAATTTCGAGTTGGATAGAACTGAATCTGCGCAATCAAGTAAGCCGAACCGCAAAGCTTCCATCTTGGGTTCCTTTGCGAGCTCGTCCTTTCTGCTTGTACTGTTCATAGCGCGTACAATGTTGTGCCGAAGCGCACAATGCGCGAGTACCTGCAAATGCTTCAAGCAAAAATTGCGAAAGCAAACAAACATACGAACATTCCATTCACACGCAAATACATTCGCACACGCATACTCGTACAAACAGACGGCAGGAGCAGTGCATCTCACGGCCAGCTGTGCATCTCACGGCCAGCTGTGCATCTCACTGCCAGCTGTGCATCTCACGGCCAGCTGTGCATCTCACGGCCAGCTGTGCATCTCACTGCCAGCTGTGCATCTCACTGCCAGCTGTGCATCTCACGGCCAGCTGTGCATCTCACTGCCAGCTGTGCATCTCACTGCCAGCTGTGCATCTCACTGCCAGCTGTGCATCTCACGGCCAGCTGTGCATCTCACTGCCAGCTGTGCATCTCACTGCCAGCTGTGCATCTCACTGCCAGCTGTGCATCTCACTGCCAGCTGTGCATCTCACTGCCAGCTGTGCATCTCACTGCATCGGCCCACAACAGACCCATCCATGTCACTGTACTGACTCTCACCCAAGCGGGCACTCACTGCACTCTCCTCTAGACAAATCTAGACAAACGAGGAGACATGGCTAGATGTAGACTTAAACATACTATGTTACAAGAGTTTCACTTAACCCTGAAAACAGTCCCCCCCGAGTTGTCCCCACAATAGCAGAAACGAAAGGAAGAAAGCAGTGCTCTTCAGCTCAGGAGTATGAGGGGCAGCTCACAGCATACTGGTTGTGGTGGCCCCTGAGAAAGCCTCGTGTGCCATCAATGGGGTCCAGCACCTGTGGTGTGTGACATGCGACATGGCAGCATGCGACATGGCAGCATGCGACATGGCAGCATGCGACATGGCAGCATGCGACATGGCAGCATGAGAGTCAAGGCAAGCGTGCAGGATAAGATGCAGATACAAAATGAGACATAGCATTGGAGGGGACACGAAGAAACAAATACGGAGAACAACGAGGTGTGGTGCATGATATGGTTAGGGGCGCAGTGCAGAAAATGCGAAAGGAGGGGGGGAAAGAGCGGAGGGGGGGATGTGAGAGAGGGGCGAGAGAGGGAGGGCCCGGAAGCTACCCAGTATCTTGGGTGCCTGGGAGCAGCACCAGCGGCAGCTTCAAGGTGGTGAGTGGCAGCAGCAGCGGCATCAATGGCTCCCAGCACTGCCTCCACTGCTGCCGCCCGCCCTTCACTCCCCTCCACAGCGCCTTCCCCTGCGCCACCCAGCGCCAAGGCGTGGGGCGAGGCGAAGCGGAGCACGAGATCCGTGACCCTCTCCGCCAGGGATGGCCCCCGCTCCCCGCCCCCTGCTTCCCCTGCCGCCCCTGCCGTCCCTGCTGCGGCTGCCGCCCCTGCTGCCGCTGCCGCCCCTGCTGCCGCTGCTGCGCTACTGGCAGCACCGGCTGCTGTTGCTGCTGGTGGCGAAGGCGCGGGGGCAGTGGGGGCAGCGAGGTGCGCGCGCAGCAGAGAGGCGTCCTCCTCGCCCACCAGTGGCACGCCGGGGAACTGCCGGGCCAGCTCTGCGCATGACGGACCGTGGGGGATTTGATGGTGCTTGGAGTGCTGTTGGTGCTGGCAGGGACTATTCAGGGGCTTTCGCAAGAGGAAAGACAATACTGGCTGTGCAGCGTCAATCCATGCTAGACAGGAGCAATAGAACGAGCATGAAGTGAAGGTGGAAGGCGGGATGGACAGGAGTCAACGGAGGGGCAGAGGGAGAAGCACACACAGGTGTGGTGCGACCACTGACGCCCAGGCTACAGCCACACAGGCAGGCCGCTGGCCGCCTGCCCTTGCGGCACAGGGAGGGGAATCACCCACCGAGAGCAGCAAGGGCCTGCACGGCGAAGTCAGCGACAGTGACGGGCGAGCGGTCCTTCTTGTCCACGCTGCTGCTGCCGCCCTCGCTCTCACTGCCGCTGCTGTACCCCCCCTGCTCCTCCGCTACCATCCGCTCCCTCACCTGCAGGAACCGAGAGAGGGAATACGAGCATGCGAGAATACGTGCGAGAGAGAGGTAAGCGCATGGCAAAGGTGGAATGTGTTCTTGCGGCGGGTGAGAACGGACGGAAGGGCAAGGAAAGGAATGGGGGGGAAGGGAGGGTACGGGAGAGTGATGGGAAAGGGAAGAGGAGAGAGGATAGGAACGGGAGGAGAGAGGAGGGGAGGCAATTATACTCACAGCAAGGCACACGTGGCATGCCCTCTCTACCACATCCAGTGCCGCTGCCAGCTCAGTAGCGAACTCCGGCTTACAAATACTGCTGACATCAGCTGCCACGTCAGATGTTGTGGTGGCACTTTCCGAACCTGCTGCATGAGAAGAAACGGAGAAAGTTCCCAGAGGGGAGCGATGGAGGCTGGCAGGAGGGAGAGTGGGGTTGTCAGGGAGGAGAAGGAAGGGGAAACGAGGCGGAGGGGAAATGCAAATACAAAAAAACGGGTGATGTGATGTGATTTTGAATTTCAGACCAGGGCACCAGCGACACCACACATTCAGGATAGATCACATCATCTGGGCCCAAGACGCCTTGCTCATAACTACCAGTCCTACGGTCAACACAGCTGCGACCATCTGGGCCTCACACAGTTGTGGTCCCGCGCCAACCAGGAGGTGGTAAGGGAACAGTACAGCGAAGGGCCAAAACGAGAGTATGCTTGCTTATGAAGGGGCAGAACTTTCCTCGGCGCGTTCACACTCAGCGAGCGTCTGTGACCCGCAACGCTGACTCCTGGGCTCCCAGGATTTGACGTGGTGCGGAGAGCAGCCACGGAGCCAACAGGCAATCGTCTAGCTGAAAAGACGGAACCAATCTGCGGGAACGAATGCACTAGCTCTTGACTCAGGCGTGCGCGCAGCATGTGCGGGGCATGGCGCGGCTCAGCAAGAGGCTTGAGGCACGGCGTGTGGAGAGATTGCGCCATGAAGATGCGGTGCTTGGTGAGAGAATCAACAAGGGGAAATGCAACGAAATTCGTCCCATGCTCCCTGGAAAACAGCATCTCAGGATTCCTCAACGGATGTCTCAAATAGGGGCTATGTTGAAACACGATGAAGGTGGAGTGTAGTTCATGGTGTTGTCGCGAGGTAGACATGCTCGGATAACGAGGTTACGCGGCCCCGTCAGGTCGAGACTTCCCACATTGGCGGAACGAAGCTGTACTCCAATCGCGTAATTCGTTACTGTACGTGCAGAGTGACCCTTAGGGAATTTCGCCTTCATACTTCTAACAATATCACATCAATCGATGACAGCAGGCTTGCAGTCTCAAACGTTTGGGCTACAGTTGATGATTGGATTTAAACAACAGATTCGCACTAATGGTATCATTACTGAGCAGCACTCAGGGGTCATCATGACTCATGAAACAGCACTAAATTATTCAATTCAGCATCGCCAGTCATTCCTACAGCCTCAACTGTTCACCCATGATTCCATGCCGTTTCGTGTCCCCTTCACGTTATCCTTATCCACGTACCAGAATCTGTCTCGCATGTTCCCTACCAGATCACCATGCTAGCATGCAGCAGGTGCGGCCTCCCACGCGGGCTCGAAGTCATCCAAGGAGACGAACGTCCTCACCCTCACCATAGTGCTGAACGACACCTTCTTCCGCATCTGCGACGGCCTCACTCCCTTCTCCCCCGTCTTATCACTCGGCGAGACAGGCAGCACGGGGGGCGAGGAGGAGAGCATGGAAGACGATAAGCTGCGATGCGGAAGCGATGCACACGGACGCACTCCTGCAGGCGAGGGATCCTGAGCGGAGGGCAGAGGGACTTGCATTCCTGGATTCCCACCACATGAGGTTGCTGCGGCATTTGCAGCACCAGCAGCGACGGCCGCTGGTGTGTGGAGAGCAGATGCTTGAAAATGGTGCAGATCGGAGTAAGAGGCATTCTTCCGTGGCGTGCCTCTCCTGTACAGCCGCCGTGTGGCGGTCCCAGGGAGCCGTTTCACAGGCACCATTAGGTTGGTGGAGGCTGAAGCATCGGGAGTGGGAATGGCACAGGAGTAGATCGTGGAGCACTCTGGCGAGCTGCCCTGGTGCGTGCTGGCCCCCGCGGGGGAAGCGGGGATGCTGCCTTCCTCGTCAACCCCAAGCTTGCTGCTGCTCACGCCCACCATCCTTGCCTCGGTAAACGTTCCTATTCCCCCTGTCCGTGTCCCCATTCCCAATAGTGCTCCTTCTGCCCCACTCCTCGTCCCCACTCCTACTGGTGCTCTTGTTGTGCTTCCCATCGTCCGCATTCCCGTTTGTTCGCCTTCTCCCATCAGAGGAGACGGCTGCACGGCGCGGTGGTCAGAGGGAGGTGTTCCGCGAGTCAAGCTCTGGCGGGTGAGTGAAGAAGGATTCACCAAGTCCAGAGAGCCACTGCATGCCGTTAGAGTTGGACTGCATGGCAAAGGATGGAGGTAGCCCTGTGCTGCACATGCTGCAAGTGATTCCAGTGGCTTGGTTCTAACAATGCTGCCACCACCACCACCACTGCCACCACCATCGGCAGCAGCAGCAGCACCATCGGCAGCAGCAGCACCATTAGCAGCAACAGTATCAGCAGCAGCACCATCAGCAGCAGCAGCACCATTAGCAGCAGCAGCACCATTAGCAGCAACAGTATCAGCAGCAGCACCATCAGCAGCAGCAGCACCATTAGCAGCAACAGTATCAGCAGCAGCACCATCAGCAGCAGCACCATCAGCAGCAGCAGCACCATGAGCAGCAACAGCATCAGCACCAGCACCATCAGCAGCAGCAGCACCATCAGCAGCAGCACCATCAGCAGCACCACCATCAGCAGCAGCAGGCAGCGAGCCATCGCTGAACGACACGGACCGACACAACCTCCTCATGCTTCCTCCTTTTGACGTCACCATGCCACGCCTCAGCCTTCCTGATGACCTGCCACCTGCAGCGCTGATCAGCCTCCCTAACTCATCCCCTCCAGGAACACATTCGTTTATGCCACTCTCCTTTGCCGCCGTTGAGGCCCCATTCCACCCCTTGAGGCTTCGCCCCGACGCCATCAGAAGCTGCCAGGAAGCACCCCAGGACGGCTTTGCAGCAGCACCAGCAGTCAGAGGAAAAGAATCCGCAGCAGACTCGCCTGCTGCACTCTTGCTTGGAGCACCCTTGGCTGGCTCACACACGGAACAGCCTTGGCTGTCGCGCAGCAGGAGCGCGCCCCACGCCTCGTCCATGTGCGTCTGTCGCGCCCTTGCCTCCGCCGCGCGCTGCTGAATGCGCTCCGCGTGCGGGCTGCGCACGGCCGTGGGGGACGGCGGCTGCCACTTCACGGGCGTGGGGGACGGCATGTGCAGAGGAGGAATGGGTGTTTCAGGCGCTCGGCGTGCTGCGAGGGTGGTAGCGGCGCGCTGGTCGAGTCCAGGTGTGATTGCAGATGCGCGTGAGATCGGCGAGCGAAGGAGTCGAGGGGAGGGTGGAGGGCGCGGGGAGGGTGGAGGGCGCGGGGAGAGGCGGGTGGTTGGGCTGGGAAGGGCAGCGGAATCGCTGGTAACAGCCGGGCCTCCTCTTGTTGGTTGGCTCTTTACCCCCATGCTGCTGCTGCCTTGGGTGCTGCCTTGGGTGCTGCCTTGGGTGATGCCGTGCGTGCTGCCTTGCGTGTTGACTTGCATGGTGGTACTCGTGACGGCCGTAACAGGTGCTGTTGCCACACGCGCAGTGCTGGATCAGGTGCAATGCGCGGGGTGAAACGGGGATGGGAGGAGGAAAAGCAGAGGGAGAATGGTGAGTTGAGAGGGAGTGGAGAGCTGAAGACTTGCGGGAGGGAGTGGGACATCACTAGAAGAGGGAGAGGGTGGTCGGAGTGAGTGGCGGAACGGAAGAAGGGGGCAACGAGGAAGCTGATAGTAGGAAGAGGGATACCGCGTCCTAGTGCGGGAGACACAGCGTAGACTAGCAGTGAGTAGATCCGTTGGCATGGACATAAACACAGGAACGCAGGAATGGAGGGACCAGCAGACGCTGCTAATTTCAAACATAAACGGCTATCAAATTGGGGTGTCTATATATCATGACATGCAGAAAAACAGCGAATGTATCAGGACTCCTCAAAAATGAGGAGTGAGTGACGAACCAGGAAGAGACGTGGGAAGCACTCGCCGCTGGGCTGCTGACAGAAGGGCCATCTGAAGCCTTGCACGCATCTCCTCCAACGGTCGGCTTGGAAGCAATTTCACACGGCCCGCCGACCGTCGGCCGGATCCAATCTCTCGTCCGCCTGGACTCTTCTCGCGAGGGCGACGGCGTCTGAGGTGACAATAAGGCCGACGGCGGCGGCGATCTGCCCGAGCCTTGCGCGGAGGAGAGCGAGATGGACGAGGGGGGAGGAAGCGCCGATTCTGGCAGTGCGGAGGACGACAAGGAGCGAGCGAACCGTCGTGCACCTAGCAACGCCACGGCCCTGCCGGTGGATAACCGGGCCGCCGCCACCGGCTCCGAGTCGCCGGCGGACAGACGCGGGGGAAAACCTCCCGACGATGAGAGCTGCGTGGTGTCGCGGCCTATCGTGCCACCCGCGCTGTTACTACCAGCGCTGAGGTGAAATAAGGCCGCAGCAGGTCGCCGGGACGGCGGCTTAGTGTCCAATGCTTCGTCGCGCCGCCCGCTGCTCGACGGAGCCTCGGTTACGAGTTGTTCGTCCAGCCAATGAGCCGGCCCGGATGAGGCGACTCGACGAAAGTTGGAGACGGTAGAAATGTTCAACGAGAGATCGGGTTTCCGCGATGAGCGCCGAGTTTGGAGCGACTGCGACATCATGTTGTTGTTTGGATGTGGCTTGGGGTGGGAGCGGGCCATTTCCTACTACTACTACCTAGTGAGGAATGTCTCTCGGACTGCATGACTTAGGGTTCGCAAATGACACGAGTTGGGGGTGGATTGCTGCGAGACCCAAGGGTGAGGAGAGAGAACCTCGCCTCGTCGTCTTTGTGATTGAAGTCGAATGGCGCGCCGTTGTCGGGCGAGAGAAGAAATCTGCTGGACGAAGCCTACGGTGGTGTACAGTGCAGTCGTGTCGACGTTTTGTGCAGTCATGCCGTCGTTTTGAACACGTTTTTGCAACAGTGGAAACGGTCGTTACAGTGGCCGTGTGATGCACGCTAGTTCAGATTCAGAAGCGAGTGAAGTGCGCGCGCACTACAGTACACATGATGCCCAGCCCGTGCACGCGAATTTGCCCTGCACCGGATGGAAACCCTGCACCCGAGGTTTTTTCCCCAGCCAGTTGCACGCCCGTTACAAGCACGTCGCGCAAGTTGCAGTGGTTATGAACCAATAGTAACGAACAGACCGAAGTCACACTGAAGAGACTGAAGTCAAAATGTCAACGGATAGGTTACAAAAGTTTTATAAGCACCTGACGAATCTTTTTTTGCTAGCTGCGAATCGACGAAATTTAGGCGAAATGCGGGTTACAGCTTATAAGCCCCCTTTACAAGGCAACCGGGAGTGGCTCAAACGGGCATCATGTGTAGTTCGAGGTGGGTTAGTGGAAGGTCGTGCAGGGGTTGTGTGACGTGATTGGTGCAGCTGCTTGACGATGGGCAGATTACTTCTCCAAGAAGTCAAGCCGTGGAAGATTACGGCGCGCAAGTGGTGAATGTGAGATCTCCCGATTCGCTCCTTCGCTTCCCCACCCCACCCCACCCCAGTCCAGTCTGCTTTGGTTTGGCTCCCTTTTCACCTTCGTGCGGAGGGAGGACAATGCTCGACTGACCGCACATACAACGCCAGAGAGGTGGTTCAGTCAAGTCAAGATGGCGGAATTTCATGCGCTACCGAAATGTACCACTCTTCCCACGTACAGAACCCAGCTCGAATCCCTTGTAGGACGATCGGAGGAGATTGATACATTTCGCCCATTTCACTTCCACGCCCTTAGCAGCACCGACACGCTCACCACGAGGTTGACGAGCAATTTCTATCTGAACATATACCTAGGAAGGTGTTATTATCAAACACACTCCTTGGAAGTAATTATTAATAAAGCTGTGACTTAATGAACTGACGATACAATGAAAGTCACGAGATAATATAACTGGAACCCTATCGATTCGGGGACCTCGCAGAATCAATGTTGGGTGCGGGTTGGGCAAAAGAAAGATCAAAGGCGACACGACGTAGCCTGAGGGGCGAGAATCTCGGTCAAGCCTGTACTTTCAAGAGTTCATGTTTGTACGCGATGCAGTACAATCTGCCCCGCACGCTACCGCACCGTGCGTGCCGCTGCCCTGCGCGCTGCTGCCCCGCTGCCCTGCGCGCCCTGCGCGCCCCGCTGCCCTGCGCGCCCCGCTGCCCTGCGCGCATCGCTGCCCTGCACGCCCTGCTGCCCAGCGCGACCCGCTGCCCTTCGCGCCGCTGCACCGCGCGCCCTGCTGCCCCGCGCGCCCTGCTGCACCGCGCGCCCCGCTGCCCTGCGCGCCCAGCGCGCCCTGCTGCCCTGCGTGCCCGGCGCGCCCCGCTGCCCTGTGCGCCATGCTGCCCAGCGCGCCCCGCTGCCCTGCGTGTCGCTGCACCGCGTGCCCTGCTGCCCCGCGCGCCCCGCTGCTCCGCACGCTGCTGCATCGCGCGCTGCTGCCCCGCGAGCCGCTGCCCTGCGCGCCGCTGCCCCGCGCGTTGCCGCCCTGCGCGCCGCTGCCCTGCGCGCCGCTGCACCGCGCGCCCCGCTGCCCCGAGTGCCACCCTTGCGCCGCTGCCGCCTGCACTGCCTGCTGCAGTGCCGCCTGTTACGGCCATGCCGTCCGTTCTATCCCGTCGCCCCGAGCCGCCACCTGTCCTTAGCTCCGCAGCTAGTTCCTAGTGCTGCTGCCAGGCCTAGTTTCTGCCATGGGGACCATCACCGTACCAGCGTTTGATGCAGAGGGGCGCCCTATAGAGTTCGATTCCTGGCTAGATGAGCTGCACCTTTACCTCCAGAGTGTCACTAAGGACGACGTCTCCTTGTTAGAGCACACGTCGGGGTCCCTTACGGCCCCCACCCCTCCAGCTGCCCCTAGTGCTGATGCTGTGGAGGAGGTGCAGCAGTAGTACCGGGTTGACCGCCTTGATTGCACGCGACGCCACCGCCCGGCTTGCAGCGCTCACCTGCCGCTCGACCAGAGGGCCCACTTTCGAGAGGTGACGTCGGCCCAAACTCTCTACAACGCTGTGGTTAGACGCTACTCCTCCCCCTCTTCTTCCACCCTAGGCCGTCTTGCGCTGTCGTTTCTCTTCCCTGAGCTGTCTGGCTTCACCGTTGTAGCCGACCTCCTGACTCACATGCGCTCCCTTGACACCCGCTATCGTGCTGCTCTCACGCCATAGTATATGACTGAGAACCAGCCCCCCATGTATCTCACTCTCTACTTCCTCACGACTCGCCTCTCTGACTCTCTTTGCGCCGTTCGAGACCACTTCCTCTCCCTCGAACCCACGGAGCTCACCCTTACCTCGTATGAGACCCGGCTCTTCGAGGCTGAGACCAGTGCTCACGCTGTAGCTGCCTCCCGTGGCTCTCCCATCCTCTCCTTCTTTTAGCGGTGTTCCTCCTCCCTTCTCGCGTCCTCTGTTCCCTCTGCTTCTGCGGTTGACTTCCTCGGTGTCGAGGAGGTCAGTGATGCATATGCTTTTAGCGGGAGGCACCCCAGCAGGGGTGGGCGTTCAAGGGGTGGGGGCGGTGGGGGTGGTGGAGGTGCGGTAACAGTGGGGGTGGCGGGGTTGGTGGAGGTGGCGGTCACGAGGGAGTAGCGGGGGTGGTGGAGGTAGTGAGGGTGCTGGGAGTGGAGGAGTTGGCTCGGGTGGCAGTCGAGGTGGAGCTGACGGGGGTGGAGGCCCAGGCACGGTGACCCAGGGAGCTGCGTCTGGTGTTGTAGAGGCTGCTAGTCTAGGTGCTAGTGAGCTTGCTAGCACTGATACAGTTCCTGCAGATGCTTTGCACACTTTCATACTGGACTGTGGCGCGCCTCGGTGCTTCTTTCGCGACTGCACCACAGTCACACCGCTCACGACACCTGTCCGTGTCACCCTGGCCGACCCCTCCTCTGGCCCAGTCGTTGCACGCGTCTCCACGATTCTCCCGTGTCCGACAACCCCCTCTGGCTCCCTCACATGTCTCCACCTCCCCTCGTTCGCTACGAACTTGGTGAGCACCTCTCACCTCCAGGATCTGTTGGTCACCACCACCACTCCTGGGGGCGAGCGCGTGGCGATCTGTACGGACACTGTGACTGGCGACCAACTTGCCACGTTCCCACGGAGGCCTGGGTCTGGACCGTACACACTGCACACTAAGTCTGCTCACGCGGCTGCATCAGGTCATGTAGCTGCATCTTGCTCGTGTCGGTTACTCACGCACCAGTCCCTCCTCTGGCACCACCGTCTTGGTCACCCCTCCCTTCAGCGTATCGGTAGCATGCAATCGCGTCTCCCTGTCTCTGGCCTCCCGAGGTTCCTACCCCCGCTCCCGCGGTCGCTTGCGCCACCGTGCACCCCCTGCGTCGAGGGGCGGCAGCGCGCCGCTCCTCACTCCTCCTCATTTCCTCCGACCACTGCTCCTCTGCAGACGCTATACATGGACGAGTGGGGCCCCGCCCCCGTCTTTGGGCTGCACCGGGAGCGCTACTTTCTGCTGGTTGTCGACGACTTCATGCACTACACCACGGTGTTTCCCTTGCAGCACCAAGGCGATGCCCGACGTGTTTTGATCCCTTGGTTCCGCGCTGTCCGTCCCCAGCACAGAGCATTCTTCCAGCAGGACCTCTCGATGCTGCGGCTGCACTCTGACTATGGAGGTGAGTTTTCCTCCTGTCTCCTCGATAGCTTTTGTCGTGTGGAGGGCACCATCCGTCGTTCACGCTTCCGACCTCTCAACAGCAGAATGGGATCGCTGAGCGCCGTACTGGCTTAATCATGGAGGTTGCTCACACCTCCATGATCCCTGCGGCTGCTCCCCATTTTCTGTGGCCGTTTGCGGTCCGATACGCCGCGCATCAGCTCAACCTCTGGCCCCGTGTCTCCTAGCCAGAGACCTCGCCTACCCTGCTTTGGACGGGGGAGGTTGGCGATGCATTGGCGTTTAGGGTCTGGGGTTTGCTTGCCCTTGTCTGCCATCCTCCCGCGGGCAAGCTCTCTCCTCATACTATTTAATGCGTCTTCCTTGGCTTGCCCACCGACGCGCCTGACTGTCACTCTTACCACATAGCCACGCGCCGTCCTGTCCTCCTGGGACGTCACCTTTGACGAGTCGGTTTGCTACTACCGTCTCTTCCCCCACCACACTTCCCCTGTCCCCCTCCCCCGCCCCTCTTCCTGGCTCCAGGTTGCCCCCCGGTAGACCCCCTCCCCCCCCCGCGTCTTGCTCCCTCAGGTGTGTCTCAGGTCACCCCACCCCCCTTGGTTGAGCCTTTAGAGGTCTACTCAGACACCTCTAGCCCAGCTGAGGGGGTTGACCTTGCTGCTGACAACACAGCGGCCTCTAACTGCCCACCGTGCTTGGAGAACCCTCTTGGATTTCCACCTCGGCTGTCTTCACCTACTCTGCAGCCTGTAGCTGTGGACCCCGGTGCGGTGACGCTAGAGGTGCGGGTTCTGGGGGTGCTGATTCTGGGGGTGCTGGTTCTGGGGGTGCTGACTCTTGAGGTGATGGTTCTGGGGGTGCTGGTTCTGAGGGTGCTGACCCTGAGGGTGCTGTCTCAGAGGGTGCTGAGCGTCCTGCTGGTGGTGGAGTCGAGGGTACTACTACTGGAGGTTCTGCGGGTGCGTTGCAGCCTCTGCCGCGGCGC